GCTAAAAAGTTGTATCAAGAAAGAATAAACTAGTATTAATTAAGAAAGGACTTGTATCGCTGAAGTACCTCGGAAATAATTTATACCGGAAATTAACAAACGAGCAGATACGTAACAATATGATATTCATAGAGAAAGACAGATTAATACACAGAAACACATCATGAGACAACATTCCTTCTCTTCAATAGTCACAGGACAAGTTGCTACTGCTAGTTAATTCTTAAGCATGTTCCCATATAAGGTAGAGAAATGTTTGTTTGATCTTCTTTCTATGTTTATAGAAAGAAAGCTCTTGTTAATGCGTCTTTGAAAATTCTTTAGTCATTCATTTGAAACCTCATGTTTGGAAAAAAATTTGAATTATAACACTATTCACAACAACCCTTTACAATGCAGTAACAAACACTTACAGATGCATACATAAAAGAACAACATGAGAAAAACAGTCGTTACCAATCTGATCTGGAGTAAATGTGGCTGTGTAAACCCCATCTTTCTCAGATACATTACAAGGAAGTCTTCTACCTGTAGGTGATATTGCTTCAACTAAAACGCTTCCTTCAGCATCACCATTAGAGTTAATCTAGACATAAATTCATATCGTACCATTGAAATAATAATGTTCAGGAAATGACAATGGATAAAACATTCACAGATTATAATTTACTAAATTCATAACTGTAATATAAAAACATTAGTCAATAGTCACATTAAATAGCAAAATTCTATCAAGATCAGTTGAGAATTGCAATTTCAAGCAATATAAGTCCAGCTAGGTGCAATAAAAAATTTTATCCAGTAGAAATTTTATATGGGTTTACTTGTGAAATCTAGCTTAGTGTAGTTTTTGTTTACACACACACCTTTACCTTCTCACATGTAAGAGAGAGAGTTAGAGGTTGTATACTTTTCCAGTTAAAATAGCCCTGCAAAGGTGTAACTTAATTGTTATAGCAACACACAATAGTTCACTTTAGGTAACAAAACACATATGCTTGGTTAGATCAATGATGAATAATGTTACCAACAAAGTTTTATAAACCATTAATTGTAAGTAATTAACATGGTAAACATTAGAGAAATGAAACAAATAATTCACACACCAAATCTTTGTTCATGTGGATTTGTATAATCAAGCTTTAAGTGATATAATTACATAAAATAAAACTGCGCAAGCTCACAATTCAGGATAAGACCAACAAGACTGGGAAATATATCTAGTTTAGTTCACCATGTACAGACAACTTTGATATAATGGGAAGAACTGAGGGGCAAGTGCAATTAATCTTTTCACTGCATTGTATTCTAAGGCCTATAGCATGATGTCTGTTTGAATACGTGTAATGTGCCATAGAATCTATAGCATATACTAGTCTTCTTTCTCTATATCCTAGCACAGATGTAGTTGCCTCGGCTATGCATATAATGCATCTCAGTGAAATCCTCATGTATTTTAATGGTATTATATGTGGTATAGGTCATGTGAAAAAGTAGTGACTGTCGCATATGATCACGGTTTCAAACACATTTTGGGATAAATTCTGACAGGGGTTTCTCCTACAGTAGGCTTAAAAATGTCATACAAGCGACTTTTGAGTGCTACAAAAAGATTAATGAATAGGATGTCACAAAATAGAGGATTTTACTTGTGAAATCTTAACTAACTTGTTTAAGTGGCTTTGAAATTATGTAGCAAAAACTGCATCATTATAAAAAAAATACCAAAAAGACATATTCTTCACAGGGAATAAACACTGATGCCATAGTGAAAAGGTTACAGATTCAAGAGTCTTTTGGTTGCTAATCTCATACTAGCTTTCAACCATCTAAATTCAGCTTACCCTCTTGTCCTCAAATTTTGAGCTTGTTCTTCTTTACTTTAGACGATTTATTTAGATCATTTTTAAGCATTTCAACTGTTAAGGCTACATATACTTACACCAAACTTCAATAAGAGAATTCATGAATATATTAATGATATTTTATATGCCCTATATTAACACACTATTTTAGGTTT